TCCTTAAAAGAAAACCTGGAGATGGGGAGAATGATGAAAGGGGTGACATTGGTCCAGATGCATTGTATTCATAAGCTGACATGTTAAATTGAAACCCCCTTGTACAACTACTTAATAAGAAAAAAAGAAGAAAAAATAAATTAAATCCCACCTGCCTTTTTTGAAGACATTTACAAGCTGATCTTAAAATCTGTATGAAAGTGCAAGGGACTCAGAATAGGCAGAATATTCTTGAAACAGAACAGGTGGCTCTCACTGTAGTGCAAGCTACTCAGGAAGCTGAGATTTAAAGATCATGGTTTGAAGCCAGCCTGGGCAGGAAAGTCCATGAGACTCTATCTCCAATTAACCACCCAAGGACCAGAAGTGGGGCTTTGGCTCAAGTGATAAGAGTGCTGGCTTTGAGGATAAAAAACTCAGGATAAGGCGCTAGCCTTCAGCTTTTTAAGGTGCCCAGCCACCAAATTCAGCCTCTAGTACTGGAGGCACGCACGCGCGCACACACAAACACAATTTGCAAGCAACAGCCCAATGTTTCTTAAAGATTCTTTGATCACCTCTTTTAATTGAATCCTCCCCAAGCTTCCTCCCATCTTTACAAAGGTGGGAGAGAGAGAGAGAGGGTAAAAAGAGAAAGGGGAAGAGGGGAGAAAAGTGGAGGATGGCATTCTGCTGGCATTCAGTGTTCCTTCCTCTCAGTCAGTATGTTCTCATACTGAGTATCCTGGGGATACTCAGTTTGGAAGAACGAGAAGGTCAGGAAAAGAATGAATGTGGGATGAACGCTCCCAAGAAGAGAGGATTTTCATTCTGTAACAAGCGCTGTTCCTTGTGTCTGTTGGGCCCTGAAGTTCAAGCAAGGGATCCTGCCCTGGGGCCGATGGTGGTGTTTGAACTGGGGAACCTGTGGAGTTGGGTGAGAGTTCCTCGGCAGGCACATACCTGGGATCTGAGGTGGGACTGAGGTTGGGGATGGGGTAAAAAGGTCCCAGGCATTCCAAGCACCCGGAACAGTGTGTCTGTAGGAGAGAAGAGTAGCTAGAAAGGTAAGTAGAGGTCGATTATGCAAGTCCCTGAGTACCCGGTTAAGGACTTTGGACTTCACGCTGGGACAACAGTAGATGCTGGATCCAAAGTTTGCTCCGGGAAGATAACTGGTTATTATCCGGTGGCACAGCCGTGGCCAGGGCGCCGCGAAAAGCTAGAGTGTCGCCCTTCTACCTGCAGGGGGCACACCTGGGGCCAAGCATCCTTCCCCGCCCTCTGGCTCTCCTTCCGACCACCTCGGAACTCCGCTAATCAGCCTGGAAGCGTCTCATCGGGGGCTCGGGCTTCGACTGGTGAACCTGGACCCGCCTCCGTGCGTCACGTCCGTCCCGGAGCCAGGCGCGTTAGCCCTAGGGAGAAGACGAAGGAGCCTCCGCGCATGCGCCGCTGCGCGCTATCGCGGTGCACCCCGAAGGGTCTCAGGCTTTTGTGTGACATTTCCGCACGCTTTTCACCTGTCCTGGGTCTTGCACACAGGACCTGGGCGCTGTCCCTGGGCATTTTTTTTCGCTCCAGGCTAACCGTCTACCACTTTGAGCACATCTGCTTTTCATGGTTTAATTGGAAGCCAGAGTCGCACGGACTTTCCCGCCTGGGCTGGCTTCGAACCGTGGTCCTCCCATCTCAGCTCCGGAGTAGCTAGGATGACCGGTGTGAGCCACCGGCGCCCGGCTCCGATGCCTTTTACTGCCACCCCGCAGGTGTTCTGTTCCAAAGATAGAGGCGAACAGAACAGAGAGGCTAGCGTGCTGTTTGCATCCTGACGCCCCTTCTGCTATTTCACTGCGAAGTCTGAGCCTTTACTTTCCATCCAGCTCAGTCTGCGGCCCCAACTTCTATACTAGTGACAACCTGCGCCAGCCACTGAGCTCGACCAAGCCCAGGTTATAATTCATGTGTCCAGGCCTGTGTCTCTCCGTGGTCAAACAAGATATTTCTAAGTTAAAGGAGACGGTGGAATCTCACAGCTCCAGCCAACCTTCGAAGATCAAACCTTGGGCACAACTTTCCTGAAGGCTCCCTCCAATGCAACTTCGATTTCCTTAAAAACACAGTAGTGTGCAGGCACTGTAGGGCCTGAGAATACAAGGATGAACTAGACTGACAAGATTGCTGATCTCTTTGCGACTACATCTTAAGTCTTCAGAGACTAAAGACAAGAATAAAATATATGGAAGTGGCGCTGTGGCTAACTGAAGTGGTAGAGCGCTAGCCTTGAGCTGAATAGCTGATGGACAGCGCCCAGGCCCAGAGTTCAAGCCCTCTGACAACCACCACCAACAAATATGCACAGGATTTTGCCGGGCACCCATGACTCACGTTCGTAATCCTAGCTACTCAGAAGGCTGAGATGTGAGGATCGTAGTTCAAAGCCAGTCTGGGCAGGAAAGTAGCAAGACTCTTATCTCCAATTAATCACCAGAAAACCAGAAGTGAAGCTGTGGCTAGCTGAGTGCTAGTCTTGAGCTGAAGAGCTGAGGGACGGCGCCCAGGCCCAGAGTTCCAGCCCCACAACCAACAAAAAATAAATAAATAAAAATACATCGGGTTTATGGTAGACACATACAGATGGGAACTGTTTAGACCAATCAGAGGTGGCTTCTTGGAAGTAGGGATGTTTATAACCAGCCAAGTGAACAAGAGCTGGGGGGGGGGGGGGGCGGGAGGGAGGGAGGAGATGCCATTGAAACAGGAGAAATTGGTGCCTTCTAGGAACAGACAGAGGCTAGTGTGGTTGGGGTGTGGTGAGCCATGGTTTGAAACTGGTGAGAATGTAAATAAGAGCCAGATGCAGTTTTGCTGGCTATGGTAAGAAGTATGAAATGTATGCTAAGAGCAAGGAGAAGCTAAAAATAGTTTTCTGCAGAGGGCTGATCTTGGTTCAGTCTGGTAGAACCACAGAAATCAGTTGTTTTTCTATACTACAGTCCTGAAGACAACTGTCATGTTCTCTGAAACTGGTTTTCATTCCTTCACTCATCTCCAAAATGTGTTTGTTGCTTCTTATCCAGAGGATTTATGAACATTTCAAAAGGCCATTTGAAAATGTTGAAAGTATGGGAAAATGTAAGAATGTAAATGATGTGTGTACATTTTAAAATAAAGGAATCTTAAGATTTTAGCCATATTCTGAAAGAGGCCTTGTAAAGGTGAAGAGGCATGTCTTTAGCATGGCACACATGTGAACTACTAGGACTAGATCTCAGTAAACGATTTTGTAGTCTGTGAGAGGAACGCCATTAGAGGACTAAATGAGATGATAATATGAAAGTCCCCCCCCCCCCCCTTCAAGTTTTAGGGCTTGTATTTAGGGCCTCTAGCTGTTGCTCCGTTTTCTTGCTCGTACCTGTTACTCTACCATTTGAGTCACATCAAGAGCCTGGCATTTTGCTAGTTAATTGGAAGTGGGATTCTGGTTCCGAACCCCCACCACCATCCAAGCCTCAGCCCTAAGAGTAGCTAGGGTTACGCGAGTGAGCTGTCGGCGTGTGGCAGTGAAAGCTTTTCAGGATACACCGTGCCGTGTGCGTGGTACCGCGTTGTACCACACTGTGCCACTCGAACCATCAGCATCCCTGGGGCTGCAGGGATGGTTCTAGAAACTGCTTCTTTAGCAGTGCTTATTCCGTCTAGAGCCACTGGTGAAACAGATCTGCTTTCCAGAAGCTTATTATCTATCCTCGAAAGCCACTAAGTGCGGGGCGTAAAATGCTCTGGGATCCGGGAACTGCAGCAGCGGCGTTCAACCTCCACGGGCGGAAAATGTTCCGTGGAATTCCTTTCTGAAGTGGGCTTGGCCGGTCTGAGCCCCGCAGGACGCGCCCGGGCCCGAGGCCGGCGGGGGCGCAGCCGTCCCCCCGCGCCCGGACCAGCACCGAGCACTTGGGTTTCGGAGACGGAACTTTGTCTGCGGGGCAGTGTGGTTAGTATACGCAGCCCGCTCCGAGCTCCCTTAGCGTCGTGTTGGGGGACAAAGTACACACGCGCGCGCATCCTCACGCGCGCACACGCGCACGCACGCACACACTCCGAAACGCCAGGCCCAGGCCCCTCAAGACCAGAGGATCCCGGTCCGCCCAAGCACACAATGGCGACTCCTTGACGGTGGCTCGCCCCTCCTCCTCCCACACTCACACGCCCCACGGTGCCGGGGCTCGCCCGCGGGGGTCTCCAGCCCTCCTCCCGTCCGCAGCCCCCGGGAGCGCAGCCCCGGAGCGCACGGCCCCGACCCGACCGCGCGCGCGCACCCTCCCTCCGGGCCGCGTCCCTCCTCCTTCCCGGGGAGCCGGAAAACCCGGAGCGAACCAGCCCGGCCCGGCCGCGCATGCTCAGTAGCGCGCAGGTTCAGTTCGCTAGTAGGAAGCTCCGGCGCTACACCGGCGTCGGCGGCGGCCGCGGCGGCAGCTCCGGGCAGCCCGATTCCCGCCCCCCCCACCCTCCCCGATCGCGACCTCGAGCCCTTCCCTCCCTCTGAGACCCCGGCCCGGCCCCGTCCCGCCCGGAGGCTCCCGCGCTCCGGAGTCCCCGCGGGCCGAGCGGCCGGAGCGCCCTCCCCGCACGCCCTCCCTCAGCCGACCGCTCCTCGGCGGGCCAGGCCCGGCCTGGGAGCGCAGCCCCGGCGGAGCGGAGGGCGAGCGGGCGGCAGCGCAGGGCGGCCCGGGGCGGCGCCGGCGGGCCGGGGAGGGGCGGGGAAGGGGCCTGCCCCGGGGCGGTGGTGCGGGATGCCGCCACCGCCGCCGCCGGGCTGCGTCGGCTGTCCGAGGTCGGTGCCCGTGTCGGGAGGAGAGCCGGGTGCGGGTCTCGCCCCGCGGTCGCCTCGCCGGGGCTAGTCCGGCCGCGCGGCGCCCCGAGGGGGCCGGCCCCTCCGGTGGGGCCGCGGCCCTGTTCCGCGCTGCGAGCTCGCCCTCTCGCGGTTCCCGGGCCCGGCCGCCGCCGCCGCCGCCGTCCCTCTCCCCGCCCGGAGGCGCCCCGGGGGCACCATGCAGGCGCCGCCGCTGCCCTACGAGTTCTTCAGCGAGGAGAACGCGCCCAAGTGGCGGGGCCTCCTGGTGCCGGCGCTGAAAAAGGTGAGGCGCGCGCGGAGCCCCGCTTCCCCGAGGCCGCCCCTGTGCGCGGGCGCGGGCGCCGGGGCCGGGGCCGGGGAGGCGGGGCGCGCAGGGCCGGCCTGCTCCCCACCGCGAGGACCGCGCACGCCGACCCTGCCGGGCTCCCCGGGGCTGACATGTACCCCGGGGCGGGGACGGGGGACGGGGGCGCAGGCCGCCGAAAGCCTGGCGGAGTTGGTCGGTGGAATCCAGCCACGGGGAGGTTCAAGCCCTGCCCCTGGATTCGCGGGCGGCAGTTGGAGGAGCCTCAGTTTTCAATGGAGGTCAAAGCAGGTCACTTTTCCGCCTCGTCGGTCTCGCGGAGCTGCTGTCACCCTCCCGTTTTAGGTGTCCAGTGCGCTCGTTTTACTGGCTCTTGAATGCTCTGGCCATGATGCTTGCACTAAGTAATTGCGAGCTTGCCTGCCTGCCAGCAGGACCTGGCTGGCCTGCTTTGCTCTGCTCTGCCCGCCCTCTGTAATGACTCTCCATTCTCTTCATTAACTAGGAGGGGGCGGGGGGGGGGGGGGGGAGAAAAGCCTCTTGGTCTTACAGTAGAAACGGATTTGTTTGCAGAATTTGCCGTGAATATTTCAGATGCGAGTTACTTTTTGCTCTCTGAAAGGGGCTCACTAATCACAAACATCTGCGATGTTTTCTAAGAAAATGGAAGAGATGCCATATAGTTTGTATTCTTTCTATACCACCAGGCTTCACGGCATCAGTTCATGTTTGCGTTACCTGCGAGCTTGCTTACTAGCTTGTCGTAGAAGCAGGGTAGTGTATCTGATGCTTGAAGATGGTACCTTGCTAGGACAAGGGAAAAAGTTAAAAAAAAAAACAAAAACCAAAACTCCTAAAACCTCATTACCAGTTTGGGGCTATTTTGCTTAGAAGCAGGCAGTTCCTATCCCAAGAGAACCACCAAGATACCAGTAGAGAATCCTTTAAAAGTATTGGCAAAAGCATATTAGGGATTGGCAGATTTACTGAAATCTGTCCACACATGCATTTTGTTTGACATTTTGGGCCTTTTTTTAAAAGTGCAATTAATTACCAATATTAAAAAATGGGACAGACATAAAATCTGGATCTTCAGATTAGGGAAATCTCTCCACTTAGGGCTTATATCAGGCAAGATAGTGAACTTCTGGAGTTGTGTAAATGGCTGCCCCTCAATAGACAGGACATTTATCTCCAGCTTACCACGGTCACCTTAGTGTTTGTTTATTTATACAATCTCATTGTTTCTATTCTTTTGCAAAAGTAATGGGAGGAGTCTAAGGTGCAGTCAGTCTGATATGTAAGGTCCTTTACTTATTTAACTATCCACCAACTGGGATTGTAAGACAACTAAGACACCATCGACATTTCATGTCTCAGAACTTGTGCTTTCACTTGCCTGCTGGATGTTTCATGTGGAGATTGCTGTATCTTGAACTCATTCTTCAGACTTATTATTAGACTGTAGAATGGCTGACTTGTGTTCTTGTACCTGAGGCTCTTTTGACATGCTGTTCCTTTCACCTGGAATGCCCTTCTTTGCCTGGCCTGTTTATCCTTTGGGATTAACCCAACTCAGAACTTTTCTCAGCTCTTAGGGCTGAGTCAGATAGTACTCCTTTGATTTCTTCTAGCACCCTATCCTAACTTGTAGCTGTGAATTTTTAAGTTTCAGTTTTCTCGTCTGTTCCTCCCTTTCCCCACTTAGATTGGTTGCTTCTTGAGAGCCTTCATTTTATTTCTCTTGTATGCAGTGCCTGACATCTATTGAATAAATGGGTAAGGGAATACCTAAACTAAAACTTTCACATCTGTCCTTCTACCAACCAGTTTTAAAGTTTCTTCATTTATAGCGTTAGTGTTTTCTTTCTTTCTCTCTCTCTCCCTCCCTCCCTCCCTTTCTTTTTTTCATTTTGTTGGTCGTAGAGCTTGAACTCTTGGGGTCTGCACACTGTCCCTGAGCTCTTTAGTTGAAGGTGAGTGCTCTACCACTTGAGCCACAGCACCTCTTTGGATTTTCTGGTGGTAAATTGGAGATAAGAGTCTCATGAACTTTCCTGCCTGGGCTGGCTTTGAACAATGGTCCTCAGAGCTCAGGCTCCTGAGTAGCTAGGATTACAGGCGTGAGCCACTGGTGCCTGGTCAGCTTTAGTATTTTTTTAGGTTCAAAATTTTGGAGTCCCCTCTGACTTCTGCATTACTGTCCACATTCAGGATCATTCATTCACCTTTGACATATTTTTCTAATCTGTCCTCAAGTCCTACCAGCTGTTCTGAATCCCTTCTAACAGTTAATGCAATTGTCTCTTAACTGAATCCACTGCTCATCACTAGCCACTACCACATTTCAGGAATAGTGGTACACTGATGAACACATCACACTTTTGTTCAGAATGACTGATTTTTTTTTTTAACTTAGTGTAAGATAAAGTGTACAGTTTTTATTTATTTATTTATTTATTTATTTTTGTCGGTCGTGGGGCTTGAACTCTGGGCCTGGGCGCTGTCCCTCAGCTCTTCAGTTCAAGGCGAGCGCTCTACCACTTGAGCTACAGCGCCACTTCCAAGTGTACAGTTTTTAGCATGCAGTTTATGGAGATTGTTGATCTCCTGTATGTATTCAGAATGTTCCACTATCTCTGACTTCATTTATCAGTTGAAGATCTATCTTATCACACAGATATATCATGCCTACCTCAACAAGTATTGCCCTTGGCACTAAGAATAAAAGAGCAAATAACATAATAAGAGACTAGAATGTGATGTGCGGTGGTGCGCTGGCTTGGAGAGATAACTGGTTTACAGACAAATTTTGTACATTGAGCTAAGGGGTTTGAGGGTTTTCTTGTGTGTGTTTGAGTGCTGCGTGTGTATGTATTCACATGTGTTCTCATGCCAGTCCTGAGGCTTGAACCTAAGGGCCTCAGTGCTGTCCTTTTAAACATTTTTGCTCAAGGCTAGCACTCTACCACTTGAGACACAGATTTACTTCCAGCTTTTTGGTGGTTAATTGGAAATGAGCATTGTACAGACTTTCCTTCCCTGGGCTGGCTTTGAACTGCTATCCTCCTATCTCAGCCTGCTGAGCAGCCAGGATTTACAGGTGTAAGCTACTAGGTGCCCAGCATAAGGACTTGAATTTTATTTTGAAGAAATAAAGCCATGGATTTTGAAATAGGAAAATAATATCAGATTTGAATTTTAGAAAATTCACTTTGACCTGAGAATGGAAATGGATTGAGACATGAAGTAGGGAGAAACGTTGGAAAGCTAGTTTACTTGTGCAGCTAAGAGGGGACATGTATTTGAATTAGGATGGGAATGTGGGGCTGGCTTGTTTGATAAATGTTTAAAAAGGATAATTGGCAGGATTTACTACCTCTCTGGGTTACTAGGGAGAGTCTTTCAGGTTCTTTTTGTACATGCTTTCTCATGTACTGGAAACATTCAAATTGGGAAAATTAGGCAGGTAGAGAAAAGGACATTTTCATTGTATTCTGGACTTACTCAGTTACTCTGAGGTTTGTGCCAATGAAAAATGTAAAGAGGGGCTCAGAAGGTGGCTCAGTTGTAGAGTGCTTGCCTTGCATGCATGAGGCCCTGGGTTCGATTCCTTAGCACTATATAAACAACAACAACAAAAAAGCCAGAAGTGGTGCTGTGGCTCATGTGGTAGAGTGCTAGCCTTGAGCTGAAGAGCTGAGGGACAATGCCCAGGCCCAGAGTTCAGGCCCCATGAACAGACCCCCCAAAAAATAAATAAAAAAACGTAAAGAGCAGATGAAGGGAGACCCAGAATTGATTTTAATCAGGATAGAGAGTTGTAGAAAAAGGGCCGCCACCCCTTTTGGGAATGTTTTAATTTTCTTTAGTTGTACAAAGGAGTTGTCATGCAACAAGCAGTTTATGGAAACTGCATCTTGATCCACGTTGCCCCGGTCAGCATTCTCACCCATACTTCCCAAGCCACTTCTTCCTTCACTTTGAATTTTAGGTCAGGTACTGAATTTTTTTTTTCTTGCTATGTAACAAAGCGGTTTACATAAACTTGATCTTTGTCATCCCTTCAACATCTTCATCCTCCCTTGGACCCTTCTTCCCTAATTTTTCCTTAGCTCTGTGACTCTTGCCTGCATTAGGAGAGGCCTTTGAGGTAGGATGTCTTAATGAGATAATTTTTGGATATCCCTTTAAAAGTGCTTTGGGGTTGCCCAGTCTCCTCCAACTGGCAGTTGTTTTTGATATCTGATGGAACAGATTTAGAAGTGTGTAAGTAGAGCTATAAGTATAGACGAAGTCTTTATCTGTAGTGAGACTTGTATGCCAATGAGCATGCAGTGTGAATGAGCTCTTACTCAACAGAAATCTAGAAACAATCCAAACGTCCATCAAATTTGTTTCCTTGAATATTAGTCAATAAATTGTGATGTTGTTATTCAGCAGAATGAAGAGGAATGAACTACTTATAAACATGGCAGTATGGTTGAACCTAAAATTCAGCTGAAAAATTAAAGCAAGAGCATATATTGTATAATTCTATTTGTGATATTTCTGGGGCTTAAACTTAGCCTCCTGCTTGCTACCACTGAGCCACACCTCCAGCTCTTTTATTTGGGATTTTTTTTGTGTGTGTGTGTGTGAAAAAATTTTTTTTCAAATATTTAAAAATTTATTAAGGTATTGTACAGAGGGGCTACCATTTCATGTCAAATAATGAGTACATTCCTGTTTTTTTTTTTTTTTTTTGGACAATGTTACCCCTTTCTTTACTTTCCCCAGTTCCCCTTCCCATCTCTGCCCACAAGTTACATAGGTCATTTCCATATAGTATATACCAAATAGTATGATGGCATTTGCTTTCCCTCCCTCCCTTTCTGAGTTTCCTCCTCCCCCATATTTCCCCTAGGAAAAAACCTCAAAACAAAAACACCACCACCACCACCACCACCAGTAATAACAACAAACCCATGTTTCCATTT